CTAAAATCACACAACGCACTTTCACCGCTACCATTCACACACGCTCCTTCTAACCAAGTCCCACCTATCACTTAAATTATAATTTTGAAGAAAAAGGAACTCTTGCAAGCGCAATAAAAAAAAATTGTACTTTGTACATGTGTAATTTTGCGGGCTTTCATTTATCAAATGCCTCTAACTTTCAACACAAAACAGTTAACTGCGAAATTAAATTTTCTTTACAATGGAAAAAGCGAGTGAAGAGAACATGCAGTGAAAAATATATATAGTCACTCTACTGACGTTTTTACCTAACGAAAACGAAGTTGTTTTTTTTTCACTTTGTAACGAGACTTTCAAACGTAGTCGCAATTGTGTTAAACTTCCGCACGATGAGCATTCTCGGGCACGCGATAAATTTACTCGCCCGTGTTGGTGTGATGCCACGGACACAAATTACCGTCCTAATTCTGCACCATAAAGGCTATAAGGAAGCTTACGCTTGAGGTTCATAAAGTAGTCCTAACTGCCGTAACCACCATCTCACCCCGCACAAGAAACAAAATCGATGGCTTTGTGGCGAGTTTGGAAATATTTAGCGCTAAATATGCAAATCTAATTTTTAGCCTGAAACAGTATCTACGCGATTTTTATATGATATATAAAATTCAAAATCAAACTGCTATATCTAAACTGGTCTCTTCAGTACTTTCAAGGTTCTTTTAAGAATAATAATAATAATTTCTTTAAAACATTTTTATAACCAGAATAATATTTTTTTTCACGCTCTGACAATATACATTGCACATGTAACATACATTAATCGAATGTTTGATATTATCAGGTTTTTTAAAAATAGTTTAAAATTGAAAATAGTTAATTGGAAATAGTTTTTAGAAATTAATCTAAGAAATTTTGTTTTATAAAGATATAGGCTTTTCGAAGAGACTTTGATTCATTCAGTATTAAATGTAAGAATATAGTCTTTGCTGTATATATGCCAAGGGAAAAGTGTCGAAACAGCCTGGTGCACTACCGAGTAGTTCGATGTCTATATGAGCTCCAGCGTACAATGTGTTGAAAGCTGTCGACATAATCGTGCAAAAGTTTCCCGTGTAAAGGAGAAATTCAAGCGATAGTTACGACAAGAGAGAGAAAGCTTTGCTGCAAACTATAACTATAAAGAATAAATAACTCGGTCATAAATGATTAGTTAAATCGACGTCAATTCGACATGGATGGGTCGATGAATGGTCGATATCGAGTACTGGTATTCTTGTCTTTGATTTCATCATAATTGTTTTTATTTAATTGAATTAATTACGAATATTTTTATATAATTTCTATGTCTTTCGGCCAATTCTATATTGAATATTATACATAATATGTATATACCTATATACGTGTGTATACATATATCGTTTTCCGACTTTGCGTTGATTCGATTTGATTTGTAGAGTTAGCCGAAAGATAATAGAAATTTTACAGAAATATTCGCAATTGCTTAAAATTATGTAGGTATATTATGTAAAAATAATTATAATGAAATTGAAGATGAGAGACAAAGATTTTCTAACCAGTATTCGACATTGGCTATTTATCGACGCATCGATATCGAATTGACTAATCATTTCTGGCAGAGAAAGAAATGTAAGGTTAAAGTTCAAGTATAGAATTCGTATTTATAAAGTATTAGAAATATGTGTCAGCACGCCGTTCTTTAAAAAGCACGAAATATTTCTTTGATAATATTTTATAATTAAAACTACATGTACTTGGTATAGCTTTCAAAGCTCTTTTTAAATTATAAAGTAGTATTAATGTTGAAATACGAAATCTCCGTTAAAATTTATTGAAAACTGAGAAGTTGTATTGGGCGATCTATTTATATCGTGGAGATTTGGCGACGTTTTCGACGGAATTTTCCTCGAGTCCACGTTATCAAGAAAACGTGACCGTGCCACTCTTGCTTTTCTAAAGAACTAAGTTATAAAGTTCGAGACGTCTCTTTCGACTATAGAATAGCACAAGAACTACAAGACATATCTTCAAGCATGAATCGAAGGAATGTAGGCATTGCGTCTTGTTTCCATCGTGTCTCCCACCGTTCTACTTTTAACCCGGAAAAGTTACCGCGCCGCTTCGCAGAATAAATAGAAATTCATAAGTCGGTTGCGAGCCGGTTACAAACTATTGTCTGGAAGCCCCGCGGCTGCGCTGCATTAAACAAACGATATCGTGGCGTGCATGACGTTGATGCAACCGCCTCGCTGCATCTTCTATCTTTCTCTCGCAAATTGAAACTTGCAATTCCGCCGACGGCTGAGGTAGCA